ATAGTGACATGGGCCCCCTGAAAAAAAAAAATGTTGCTTACAAAACCTCAAAAGTCTAGGACCAGGACCAGCACCTTGTGGAATACAGATGGATGGCCTACAGTGTGTACAACTGTCCTGTATTAGCTGCGATTGGCTGTACCCTGTTTTGTGCTCATCCATATATGAAATTCTCAATTCATAACAATTTCATAACAGGCACATTTCAATGAATCATGGCCAAGACATTTAATACAGGCCTATTCCCAAAGTACTCAGAAACAGAAATAAAAATATGTTCAAATATTAAAACTTATACAGCAACTGTAGCAAGTGACTTTAAATGTTTTGATTCTGCCATAAAACCAAAACAATAACAAGGACATTTAATAATGCATCGCAAAGGTTTATGCCTCGTGCATAGTCAGAAGGATACAATTCTAAAATTAATATACAGTAGTAATAATGCATGACTCTGTTGAAACCACTCTGGAACTTTTTTGAAATCACTGTCAAAATGGATGGCTTGCAGGATGAGGGCAACATAAAATCATGATTATGTTACCTGGACAAATATAATGTAATTATTTATTTTTGTATGAGTTTATCCATATGCTTTTCTCTTTTTATTTTTGTATTTATTTTTATGTTTTTCATTTTCATTCAACAATGTTTTGAGACAATCCTTGTGCATTAAGGAGTAGTATTTCTGCCATTCAAAAGAACACAAAGCAATCCTATACATCCAAACATCTGGCATGAAGCTCTAGGTGACACATTTCGATAGGTCAAACTCAATCTGACATAATGACATCATTATCACAGCTTCAGAAACACTCCACCTTCCCCAGCTCCACCTGTATAGATCTGCTACAGGGTGACTCATGTATGCTATATGGGGTTAATTTATATACAGTATGTTATGTGCAGCAGCATGCTCACAGCAGCATGTTGTGGATGTATTGGCAGTAGCAAGTCTCGGCACTTGTCGCAACAGCAGCGTATAGCAGATCTATCTTGCCAAGACCAAACACATTGACACTTCCATGTATATTACCATGCCAATCCCTCATCTACAGGGCCTATGGGATGACCGGCTCTAGAGCAAAACATCTATGTCATTTACTAATTGCCAAAAATAATTACAGTCTCCTTTATATGATCAATGTGGGAAAATGTAGCAGAATTCTCTGTATGTGCTTTTAAAATGCTTGACTTTATGTGGCTGTGTTTATCATCTCATCATTCACAAAACACATTTCAGTCTGTGCATGTCTGCTTTTATAGTATTTTGTGAAGAACACATGCCATGATAAACACACACCCTGCATCACGTGTCGTCTAGTTTGCCTATCACTACTTACAAAGAATATTACATGCAGGACATCACAAGTCTTCAAAAGCTCAACCCAATGAGACATGAAATTAATGTGACGAGCTGCTGAATACAGATATTTCTTGCTCATTTCAATGGGATTTTGTTGTTAGAGATGTGACTAAAGACGTATTTCAGCCAGTGGTGTAATGGTGACATACTGTGCATACATAATCTGCATACAGACACATTTGCATACTGCTAAAACTATTTAAATTAAACCTCATTGGCTGTAATGTGTAATATGTTATTCTCTTATAGTGGACACCAGTGATTTGTGAAAGCAATGTAATTTTTTTGATGTTGGACGATAGGCAGGAAGACATCTTATGAACATTTTGTTCTTTGTCTTTCAAACACACAAGTAGTTCTCATATTTAAGTTACCTTCATGGACATGGATAAATACACATACATACTCTTTGAACTGATTTAAGTCATTCTTTTTTGGCAAGAATTTAAATACAGATATGCAGCTACCGAGCTCAAGCTGACAAGACAAGAAGCTGTTTTCCATATATTAGGCTGTATTTGTATTCATATATTATGGGCTCTCACGTTTAGATGGCCACATGCAAAATCCCTTTCTGTCAATACAGATTTCATGACTCATTCTGCATTTCACAGTCTCATCAGATTTTCTATCTAAATCTACTTCAATTTTGCAATACAACTGTGGTGTAAACGAAACACTATTGGCTTTATTTCTTCTAATGACCTACGTAAGTTTGCCTGACTACTCTACTAAGTTCACCCAAAAATTACAATTGTGTCATTATTCACTCATCCCCATGGCATCCTTTGTTGCCATGGGGCTTTGTTGCAAACAAACAACAAATAACATATTTTAAGCTGAATATGTACAGTATATTGATTAGGAAAGGATGTTGTTCACTTCCTGTTACACACACACACACCGTTTCCCTTGATTTAACCTTGAAACATGAGAAATTTCCAATACAAGTATTATTTGAGCTTGAGCAGTACAAGGTGTGATGATGATGCAGAATAATATGGGTACAATTTAGACACATGCTTTATGATAACAGCAGATAATATAAAAACAATTGTATTCAATGTAAAGAATGCCTTAGAATGCTTTTAGGAAAAGAGAGAAAATGTAAGAGAATGGATGAGAAGAAGGGCAAAGGGTAAAGACTGAAAGATGACTGAAAGACACACAAACATAATAGATACGCAAAGAAAGAACAAAGAGAAGCTAGATTTTCCTGAAGGAAACAGCAGTGCTTGCAAGATAAGGAAAAGCATTGAAATTTCAGGTAAGGTAAGTTTAAGTAATGTTTTTCAGATTTTACTTCTGTGGAAATTAAATGTAACATCAAAACTGCTTTGTTGTTGTCTTGACACTCAGCTGTTGGTTACATTTTAAATAGTAAAGAAGTTCATGGGAGATTTTTAAACTTAAATCAAGAAAAAAAAAAGATTAAGATAGCTTATCTTTACAAACCAAAATTAAATTGCACACATGAAAATGAAATTGTCTACAAAACAAATCTGAATAGAAAATATTTATATACAGTTTATACAGATTAAAATAACTAAATGAATAACTATTTTCAGAATTCAAACCTACTGCATCAGGTGTCTAAAACTTTAGGGGAAAGAATAGAATTGCATGATGTATACCCAGAATTCTGAGAAGAAGAAAAAAACTCAGAATTGTGAGATTTAAATTAGCAATTGTGAGACAAAAAGAAGATATTCTGAAGAATGTTGGTGACTATTGTTGGTAGTATGGGGAAAAAACTATGGACGTCAATGGCGTCCAGCAACAGTTTGGTTACCCACGTTCTTCAAAATATCTTCTTTTGTGTTCAGCAGAAGAAAGAGAAGGGACAAGGATATTTTGGGTTGTTTTAAATGTTTCAACTTGTACAGTTCATTATTTAAAACATCTATTGGTCAAAGCAATTTATGTATGTTACATTTTGTCAGATAATTCGGACCAAAAACAAAAGAAAAACATTTTTGAGTAAAGGTCACGTAGTGTGTTATGCATGTAAATGCAAAATCTCATTCTCATTATTGTAATATGGTAATGCAGAATTGTGAGATTTAAATGAGCAATTGTGAGACAAAAAGAAGATATTCTGAAGAATGTTGGTGACTATTGTTGGTAGTATGGGAAAAAAACTATGGACGTCAATGGCGTCCAGCAACAGTTTGGTTACCCACGTTCTTCAAAATATCTTCTTTTGTGTTCAGCAGAAGAAAGAGAAGGGACAAGGATATTTTGGGTTGTTTTAAATGTTTCAACTTGTACAGTTCATTATTTAAAACATCTATTGGTCAAAGCAATTTATGTATGTTACATTTTGTCAGATAATTCGGACCAAAAACAAAAGAAAAACATTTTTGAGTAAAGGTCACGTAGTGTGTTATGCATGTAAATGCAAAATCTCATTCTCATTATTGTAATATGGTAATGTAATGTTGTCAGTACTGTAAATGTGCTAATGTATATTATGAATGTAAATGTATATAGCACTAGTCCAACAGTATTCCCTACAGTTTCCAGGGATGCGTTTCCTGTGGCTGTTTTTAAGTAGTTGTTTTGCTCCAGGTCTGAAATTTTACATTGCTCCTCAATCAGAGACCCAACCCTCTGCAAATGGACCCGTTGGACCCGCTCTCCTTATCGCCTGTCCAGAACCACTCCGAAGCACTTTTGAGCTGATGAGGTCACACACACAATAAGCGAGTGAGTGAGCCACAGGGCACACTTACACCAGTTCGTTCACATTACTCTACTTTACATTCTCCTCTCCTCTTTCTCCATGCACATTTCTTCCTCTGGGCTTCCTGTCATATGTCTCTTTGCTTTCTTCTCTTCTGTTGCCCTCTGCTCTGTTTTTTCTCTTCTCTGCTTTTCTGTCTGCTCACCAGGCATGTTCTCTTTCTTCTTTTTAAAACCGTCACACAGATAATCTGCCCCTCGGGCTCCCATCCTCTTTACTTGGTAGCACTCACACAAATGCACACATGCCACAAACATTCTAATGTTGTTGTCTTTTTCCTTAATATTGAAATTTGAACTCCAACCAGCCCAATGGTGAAAATATCACTAGCAAAATCACACTAAAATCATGCTCACAGACATCCATCTGCTCCATTACAGAAACATCACACAGAAACATGCTATCCCATAATCACAGGCCTCGAGTGCTGACCTCTGTGATGCCCTGACCTCACTGTGAAAAAAGACAAGCAGAACACTAGCAAAACCAGATTTGTTGCTTGTGTGTGGTTTAATTGGCGTAGATTGTGTGTGTGTGTGTGTGTGTGTGTGTGTGTGTGTGTGACTATGAGTGTTGACATGTACTTGTGTATGTGATAATATGGAACTGCAGGAACAGAAGCACACACTCACTTTTCTGTGTGTTGAAAGGACACCACAAAAGGAGCTAAAACCTTACAGTCAAAAATAACGTGCGCCCCTTAAAAAGAAGCACATGGCACAGTGTTGGTATCAAATGGTAATACTTTGATAAATACCATGGCACTGAATGATTACCAAATTCATATAGCATGACAATAGCATGGTACTTCAAAGAATATCATGATATACCTTTCGGTGCTGTTTTGTTCATGGTGTTAACTGCACAGTTTAGCAGAGCTCAGTTTACCTTTTGCAACAGCTGAGAGCCAGAATACTTGGCCGCAATGGATTTCATTTCTCCACCAAACGCTGAAGCCCAAAGTTTTACACTAGAAAGAAGAGGAAATGAATTTGACATAGCAGGTACAAATTTGGGTATGAGAGAAAAGTGCAATGTAGTGAAAACACTTGCTTAAACCGCATTTTCAAATCATGCATATTTATAATACATGAAATTTGTATTGTATTTAAGCAAATATGTCTCCTTTAAACTGCATTTGTCCCATCACACAAATATATGAAGTGAACTTTAAAATCAAAAGGCACTGGCTAAATAAATAAATGCATATTGTGACCTAAAATATTTTGGTCGATTCATTTTGATTCAGTTCATTGTGTAGAGCAGTCTGGGCAACTTGACAAATAGCAAATAACAAAGTTGGGACAAAATGACAACAATACAGGCTATTTTATATATTTTTCTCTCTGTCAGCAATAGTTGTACAAAACCAATACAGCAAACAATATACAAAACATCCTATTTTATTTGTAGCCTATTATTAGCACCTACTAATTATATACAATACATTAGAAATATAAGAAAAGTATACTTACACTGACAGGGGAATTCCTTGATGAGATGCACATACTCTGGTATTGGGTGTAATCCACAGCAGGAGGAAAAATATACAATGCAAAACACACTTCATGATCGCAATGATGTCCAGAGCTTCTGAAGAGATGATGAATTGTCTGCCAACTAACACAGCTTACAACAAATATATGGATGGATGTGTCGCGTGGAGTGCGTTCCAGTCAGAGATGTAACAAGGGAAGTGCATGAATGTATTTTTGAAGTAAAGGCGCCGCTGTCATGCTTTATATATAGCCTACTCCAGTCGTACTGCAGTTTTACTCAAATCAAGTGCGCTGAAAGAGAGAGCCGAGGTGAGAGCAGAACGGACCAATGATGCGAGGACGTGTCACGTCTTCTCTTTCGTCCGCTTTCTGAGAAGCTGCTGCTGCCTTTATTGTTCTTCAAAGGAGAATCCGCTATCAAATGATGCCATACGAATCGATGACGAAATAGTGAACAAAACAACTACCGGAAAACGACAAGACACGACAAACTGAGTGAATGAGTTAAAGAGACTACACCACAACTAGGCTACTGTATGACTACAGATGCGCTTCAATACCCACCAGAGAAACACTAAACTCCTCAGCAATTAGCTTGTCATTTAGTTAGTGATTGGAGTTATTGAGCTGGTGAATCTCATGAAACCTGCAGACTTATATTTCTTCCAGAGTCTATCTATCATATTTTAATGTCTGTGCACTACATTTAGTCCTGCAAATTCTCATTACTGAAAAAAAAGTCATTGTTATAATGCGAAAAAATAATTATATATTATTTAAATTGTAATCATTTATAATTTGATGTGTATTAGCGACAATTATGACAACAATGACAATTATTATGGTAAATTTCATAACTGTAATAGAAATTATTAATTCAGGAACAAAACAATCAGTGTGTCTGAAATTGCATGCTGTTTGAGTAGGTACTGCTTTTTAATTCAAACTTACTTTGTGATAGTTAAAAAAAAGTATGTTCTATAAGCTGTGTCCCAATAGAAAATGTGAAGCTGATGTCACGTTGTGTTTCATTCTGGGTAACTGTTTTGTTTAGATTATTTAGACTATTTATAGAATTGCGCTGCCTTTCTGCTAGTCAGTTTAAGGCAGTGTTCTCTTTTTAAGCATATGTTTTGGTGTCTCACTATGGGATATGCCCCTTCTGTGCATTCCTCTAGAAGATTTTAGTGTAAGATAGCTTCACATGGGACACCATTAAATCTAGAGGTTTTAGATCTAAGTAGCACCATATATTGAATAGTTTTGGACTTAAATATTAATGCTAATATTAACATTTTGTTTTGTTCACAGGTGATTGTGAGAGTGTCAGATAATTCTTTCCTATGTTACGGTGCACCAGCAAGGGATTTCCACCCTGACAGTAAAGAACAATCATGAAAGATTGTTGAATAAACAAAATTTTGAATAAAAGAGTTATATAAATTGTAAGGAGTTATCTGAAAGATTTGTGAGATCTTGTTAATTTGTAGAGCCTCCCACTGTAACAAAGAGTCGGAGGCGTGCGGATCCATTTGCAGCTTTTATTAGAATCAAAGGCAGAGTTAAACAGGCAGTAATCAGTCAACAGCGTCACGAACAGCAGGGATAATCCAGGAGAATAAACAGTAGCAGAGCGAGGGTCGGGGCAGGCGGCGGAGAATCACACTAGTAAGAACAGTCCGAGGTAATACACAAGAGATGACAAGACAGGGGATAAACGCTCAGAAATGTAGCCGGGGCAATACAAGACTTCGCAAACACTGAATCATCTGATATCTGGGCTGGTCGGGGAGATGAGTGCGATAGGCTGGTGAGCAAACAATTCCGTTGGCAGGAGTCAGACCACTGTAGAATTTGCTTAGTGGTCCATGATATCCGGGGGTTGTGTCTTTCTAGCCAGGGCAGACCAAGGATGATGGGATTCAGAGGAGAGTCAACAGTGTCACGAACAGCAGGGATAATCCAGGAGAATACACAGCAGCAGAGCGAGGGTCGGGGCAGGCGGCAGAGAATCACACTAGTAAGAACAGTCCGAGGTAATACACAAGAGATGACAAGACAGGGGATAAACACTCAGAAATGTAGCCGGGGCAATACAAGACTTCGCAAACATAGAGAGACTGGAACAGCAGGGATAATCCAGGAGAATACACAGCAGCAGAGCGAGGGTCGGGGCAGGCGGCAGAGAATCACACTAGTAAGAACAGTCCGAGGTAATACACAAGAGATGACAAGACAGGGGATAAACGCTCAGAAATGTAGCCGGGGCAATACAAGACTTCGCAAACACTGAGAGTCTGGGAGCTGCTTAAATAGGGAAGCTAAGGGGAAACACCTGTGCCAGTAATCAGTCCCAGGTACGGGGTGTATGGGAAATGTAGTCAATGAACGTTAGTACTCGGGAGAGGGTGCCCTCCGGAGGCCGTCGGAGAGAGCCACAGAGGCCTGATTCGTGACACCCACTGTATTATCAACACAAGGAAGCCACAAGTGTAATAAAAGGGTTTTATTAACAAAAGGATTGACAAGAGTAACTGACAACTACTAAATGATTTCCTTGAATTGATAAAGTGCAAAAGTTTGATAGATGCAATTGACCTATCGGTAAGCCCCGCCCCCCTTAGTTACTGTTGCTCACTCGGACAAACAAACGGGAGTTGCTGCTGTCTTACAATGACAGCTGTCAGTGTGAAAACTTTAATGTCCCAAGATGTTTTTGATAAATTTTGGACACAGAAGGACAATCATTTAAGTGGGACTTAAATATGCCATGGAGGGATATATAAATGATTTAAAAATAAATATGTAAAAATACAGATCATAATGCAGACAGGAGAAGTCTCCCAAGGTAGCCAAAACGGTTTGGCCCGATAATGACCCAGATCCGGCAGGCCAGATTAAATAACTCGGCCCGGCTGCAGTTGCCAGAGTTGGCGTGAACATGGGATGAATGACGTCCCAGAATCGGCCCAAATACACTGGCCCAATGCCAAAACTGCCGGCATTGGGCCACAATCACGCTGACAAGAATTGAAACACTTAGCCGGTACTGGCCTGAGTCTGGGTACTGAAACTGGGCCAACACCACCAGCATTCATGACATGCCACCTATTATCTGGTACTTGCCTAAAAAGACGGGTAGTTGGGTCAACCTCTGCCTATAGAGTTTTATACGCCTATAAAAAGTTTTCAAAAGCATCCCCCCCTCTGGTTTTTTCACAAATCGCACCCTGTATATATATATATATATATATATAATTACACTTACTCATACAGAATTACAACTTCTAAAATATGTGTATTAAAGACTCCTTCCAGTTTTGATATAAAACCAGAGCTTTGAATAATTTGTTCTTCCACAAAATGACATTGTTACCTTAAAATCCTTAATGGTATCTACTTCAAACTAAAATAAAATACATATTTTACAGTGTCCTTGTTAAGTCTACATGTACTTATGCATGTCAACTAAATATGTCACCTTTAAAAAGATTAAGGGTTTGGCCCTTACACCATTTATTTTCATGGCATCCCCACCTACTACCCCATGACATGCATATGTGAAAAGATAATAATAATAATTATTTGAAAGAAAAAAAACTCCAGGAGCTTCCTTCTAAAAGAGATGAAAAGTAAGCAGATCTAGCAATTTTTAGAGCTTTTCTGTAAGTAGAAGTACTTTCTCTCCATGCAAGACGAAATACCTCTAGTTTTGTTTTCTTCCTGCTGCACTCCATTTTCTGGGCTGCTCTCTTTAGGGCGCGAGTGTGCTCATTATACCAGCATAATACCAGTCAGACTGTGTTTTCCTTAATCTTCTTTAAGCATAAAGGAGCAACCATATCAAAAGTGCTAGAAAAGAGAGAGTCCATAGTTTCTGTTACCACATCAAGTTTTTCTGAGCTATTGGATTTGCTGAGGAATTGAGACAAATCAAAAAGGTTATTTACAAAGCAGTCTTTTGTTGTAGAAGCGATGGTTCTACCATATTTTTAACAAGGATTTGAGTTTGCAGCTTTAGCTATATGGAGTATACACGAGAATAGGTTTTAGCCAGGTTTCTGTGAAACAGAGCACATCTAGGTTATGATCTGTGATTATATAATTTACAAAAAGCACTTTCGTAGAAAGGGATCTAATATGCATTAAACCAAGCTTTATCATTTGTTTATCTGTAGTCTAGTTATGCATCTCTATGTGCTGAGAATTAACTGACTTCTGTGACTTCTGTGTGAAGTCACACTAATGCCTAGGGTCTCTGTGAAAGAGGTTTGGAAAGAGTGATATTTACGTTCTGCCTGGTCATGTGCTGAGTCTGAATGGTGACGTCTTCCACTTGTTGATCTTGGGCATGTTGCAGTGGGAAGAAAGTAGTTGGATGCATTTCACAGTCTTGAACACAAAACACTGGTGAACGATGAGCTCCTGAGCACAGAGAAAGTCCTTGGTCTGGAACATGCATCTGAAGGAGCCTTGCAGGTGAAGGTTCTTATGTCTGTGCAGAAGCTCTGGACAATCTTGAACACGCACAGAGAGGATCACAGACAAGACAATTCTGACATTTGTGGAGAGAACCTTGGCAGTCTGGAACATGCAGAAGATTGCTGAAGAGAAGGTTCTGAAGTTGTTGCAGAAGATGGGGGACACTAAGCTTGTGGTCGTTGTTGCTGTGGCAGTTTCCAAACTCCCCAAATTCACTTCTTGCAGAACTTCCTTGTTTCTCCTTAGAACAACTTAGCTTAGCATTTTGCAAATAAATAAATTTCGCTTAGCACTTAGCTGCACAGCAACAGCAGCTTAGGCAAATTCTTTGTCTTGGAGAAAACCTTTTAATCTTTCCTGAGAAGGAGGGATTTGCAAATTAGGCACCTTTCAGATCCAGCATTTTGATTGGCTGATGCTGTCAGCAATGGCCATTGAATGGCTCCCTCTTTGGCATGAGGTTTATCTGCATAGTTTAATGTCCACGTTTGCAACAGTGTCTTTAAGGCAAGGGTCTTAAACCCTGCTCCTTGGGACCCACTGTCCTGCAAAGTTTATTTCCAATCTGCTTCAGCACACCTTCCTGTGTATTTTCAAGCAGTCTTGAGGAGCTTGATTAGCTGCTTCAAGTGTGTTTGATAAGG